AGCTTTACTCTAGTATTTCAGGAGACAAATCTCTCTCTCTCTCTCTCTCTCTCTCTCTCTCTCTCTCTCTCTCTCTCTCTCTCTCTCTCTCTCCAGTTCTCCCTCTCCCCCTCTCTCTCTCCCCCTCTCCCCCTCTCCCTCTCTCCTTCCCATTTCCCCACACAAACAACTAGGACCTGGAAGATGATTTTAAAATTCACTTCACTGCCTTCTGTATGAGGTCATGAACCATGTTCAAGGGAGAAAGGACATTACACTCAGATTCTACTGGGTATATTATTCAGGAAGAGAAGAATGCATAGTTTAATCCATTTCAACAGCAACAAAAAAGAAACCACAGGAAAATGAAGGAGTCATTTCTTTTTTGTCGTTTGCCAGTGACCCACGTATGTGTAGCTGAGTAAATTATCCATTCCATTTGGTGTTTAGATTACTACACTCTCAAAGAGAGAAAATCATTTCCTTGAAATTCAATAATACAGCCAACATATTATGTCTCAAATATTGTACACTTCAAAAATAAAGTCATTTTAAATCAGTACAATGTTCTCAATCTTGCTTGCTTTATAGATATACAACTTGCAGTCCTGTTGGATCACCCCATTTCTCCATGCCAGAGTCAAATCATAAAGCAATCCCTTTACCAAATAGATTCTAAGGACCAGGAACAATAAAAGAAACAACATGTATTCCAAAGGCTTCTATTATCAGACACCTCCATAATATATATACATGCTGTCCTCAAATAGGACAGACTATGATACCCGGCTGCACATTCCATGCCAGACCTACATGAATATGGCTCTGCTCACAACAGACACTGGATCTGCTCCTACAGAACCTGAAACAGACCTTGTTTGCATAATAGCAAGATGGAAGGGAGGAAGGAAGGAAGGAAGGAAGGAAGGAAGGAAGGAAGGAAGGAAGGAAGGAGAAAGCTGCTGTTAACAGATTATGCCAGTTAACCAAAAAAACTAAAAAAAAAGTCTCCAGCCCGAATAAGCACCAACTCATTAGGGAAAAAAAATCTCAGTAGGTCTTTCTGTACTGTGTCTAAGCTGGATACAAATTATGTAGGCTTTCTCAGTATTTTTGTTTGTTTTGAGGAAGGTCTTGCTAGGTAGCTCTGGCTGGCTTGTCCCTCACTAATCACCAAAAACTAGCCTCCAACCACAGCAATCCTTCTCACTGAGTCTCCTGAATGCTGGGATTAGCAGCATGAGCCACAAGATCTGGCTTTGGTATTGATTTTCAAATAAAGAGTTTGAATTCTCTGTACAAGCAAATCCCTTATACTGTGTCAGAAAAAAGCATGCATAATTTCCAACTTGAAGAACTTAAATGCTGTAAATATACACAGCGATTCACAGTTTATAACAGTGTTCACGCATAGTATCTTGTTTTAGACTCTCAGGAGCTCCATGAGGCTGTACCAACATCTTCATTTTATAAATGATAAAGCAGAAACACAAAGATGTTAAACATCTTACCTAAGATGCCTTCAAGGATTTTACTGTCTCCTCTTTCAAACTCAGATGAAAAATACAAAGGATTCCACTTATTCTCAGGTTGCTATAGAATCCAAGCTTTTCTAAATAATGAAATAGAGTCAAGACATACAGATACTATCATATATAAATGCTGAATGTCATACTCTCTCCAAGCTCTGTATTAATGGCTTTTAACCTTTACATCATGATCCTTTATGAAATTTAATGAAAATTGAAGATCCTCACCCCTGCACAAAGGCATACAATAAAAGATTCACAACAGCCTTATTCACCACCACCAAAGAGTAGAAACTACCCAAATGTTCACTACCCACTGGATGCATAAATTGCAGCATTTCTATACAATGAAGTACCATTCAGCCACAAAAAAGGAATGAACCTTGAAAACACTGCACTAAAAGAAACTAGCCACATAAGCATCATTGAACTATTCAAAATAGCAAGAACCCCAGGCTCTCACTCATACACGGAGTCTTGAAAACTTGATCTTGGGGAATTTGACAGTGAAAATGGATTTCACCACAGACTGGGGAAGAAAGGGGAGAGAGAAGGAGGTAGAAAGGCTGATCAAGAAGTACTGAGTTCGAGTTAATTAGCAAGAAGCTTTGTTGTACTGTTACATAGTAGGTTGACTACAGATAATAATAATGTACTGCACATTTCAAAGAGCGAGAATAAAAGATTTAGAAAGCTTTAACCATAAAGCCTTGATAAGTGCTTGGAGAAAGAAACATATTTAACCTGATTTAACCATTATGTTAATACTCCATTGGCATGCAAAATTTTCATGCTTTATATTAGATAAATAAATTTAAGGGCTAGGGAGATGGCTGAGTAAAGTGCTTGCACACAGGCATAAGGGCTTGAATTCAGATCCCACAGCACCTATTTATTAATAGGAAGTGCGTTAGAAGCTTCGGAATTTCATAAGAAATTCCAAGTGGGTTGATGCACACCTTTAATCTTAACACTGGGAAAACAGAGATGGAAGGATTCTTGGGACTTTGCTGGCCAACTAGTCTTGCTGAATTAGTGAGTTCCAGGTTCAGTAAAAGACCCTGTCTGAAAAAATAAGGTTATGTGTAGTGATAGTGGGAGATTCCAGATGTTAACCTCTCTCTACACTCCACACACATACCTACACAAACATGTATGAACACACACATATACCACACACACAAAGAAAAATAAACAGAAATTTAGAGAATAGGCAAACCAATGGAAATCTGAAGTAAACTAATTGTTGCCTAGGGATTCAGGGGATGTTAGAGAAATGTGGACTGACCCGTGAGGTCTCTTGTTGAAGACATGACTATTTTCTAAAACTGACTGTGGTAGGTGATGATATACCACCATGAACATACAAAAAAACCCCACTAAGTTGTATACTTTAAAATGTATAAATTGTATTGTATATGAATTGTCTCAATAAAGATGTTCTTTTATCTCCAGTGCTTGGAATCAAATCCAAGGTCTTGTGTCTACAACTTGATAGTTCTGCCACTGAGCTAAATTCCAGTCCTTCAATAAAGATACCAGTTTTAAAACAACCATTACAATAGAAAAATAAAATTTACCAAAAATTTCCTGAGCCCTGAAACTCACCTACAAATGCAATAAGGTCCAAGAACCAAAGTTACTTAACTCCAAGAATCATCCATTTTTCGTTACTTCACAGATGTTTTTCTTCAAGTGTCCCAACAACTACCAAGCCTATGTCCCATTGTTTTAAAGACCTCTATGCCATTAGATCACACGATCACAGTTTTCAATACTGAGTCTTTATAAGCAAATAGTACAGTTTCATAACGATCACAGTTTTCAATACTGAGTCTTTATAAGCAAATAGTACAGTTTCATAACGATCACAGTTTTCAATACTGAGTCTTTATAAGCAAATAGTACAGTTTCATAACGATCACAGTTTTCAATACTGAGTCTTTATAAGCAAATAGTACAGTTTCATAAATGTAATTTTAGGAGCTAGGTCCAGGCATAGTAGTGTGCGCCTGTAGCTCCAGTATCCAGGAAGTAGAAGCAGGAGTATCAAGCATTTGAGGCCAGACTGGGAAAACAATGTTTAATGACTGAGCATCTACTAGAATGGTTGTAATTCAAAATATAAAATCGTTTCTGTCATAAAGCATAATAAAGCTCAATAAGCAAGGTAAGATACACAAGTAATAGTATTCAAAATAGGAAACAAGTCTTCCTTTTCAGAAGATCAGGAAACAAACAGACAGTAAGAATGGGTTTAGCCTTGAAAAATAGGATCTGACCATAAATAGGGATATAGGGAATTCCAAATGAAAGCAGAAACAAGGATGTTTCAAAACCAAAAGGAGCCAAATATCCCCAACTTTGGTAGGTTCTGGTAAGCCAATGAAGGTTGCTGAGAGGGCAGCTAGCAAACCAAGGCTGCCATGTTAAAAGGTGCATGCATGTGAACAAGTCAGGAAAACTGCAGGGAGGAAACACAGGAGCCTACTACAGGTGTATGAAGAAAAGGTTGCTAAAATCTGATTTATGTTAGGGCAGTTTTTAAATGTCAAGGCACGCTGGAAAGATAGTGGTGGTCTTACATGCTGTAGATACTCATTTTAAGTTGCCAATAAGTGCCAGGTATGGCCTCATATCCAGGAGTTCCACCCACTTGGGAGGCTGGCTTGTACCTTGGAGTTTGAGGCCAGAGTATGAACAGCAACTTAGGGGAACCCTGTCTCGAAAAAGGAAAAGTGAAGGAGAAAGAAAAGGAAAGGAAGGGAAAGGAAAGGAAAAGAAGAAGGATGGCAGCTGTATTTCATTGAAGTACACATTTATCTGAGAAAACTCATATTCCACAATATTTTAACACAAAGTTCTTGCTAAACTGATTTGTGGGATTAGGAGGGTCCAACGCCTTCTTAAACTGACTTTGCTGTTAACTACAGCCTGTAAGTTTTCAGTAAGACAGGGTTGGTAAGAATGAAATGATAAACTTTCTGGAGACCAGACAACCCTGAATTCCCAAACAGTAAACAAAATGTCACACTGCATTAGCAAATGCTATGAGTCACAAGGTCAGAGAAGCACAATATCATTTCCGTTGAAATTGCTTTATTTCTGTGAGCCTGGGCTGTTAAATGATAATAATCAGAGGCTGTAACCATTTCTGGGTTATACATTTACCACGTGGTCAGGAACTGAGCAGATGGCATAAGGGTGTGCACCTGCCTGGCATAGTTGAGGATTGGTTCTGCTTAAGAGAGACAAAGAGGCCGGAAGACGCTGAAGGCTACCGAAAAGGTTTCATTCCTACACAAAGCAATACTAGCCACAAGAACTAAGAGAGGGCTACAGATGTGTCTACTGACTCCCCTCCTACTCACACTCCAAAGAAAGAGGCCTGGCTCTAATCCCCAAAGACCAGTTTGCCAAATCCAAACACAGGCATTTTACTTTCACCCTGCAGCCCCTCCTGTCCCTTTTCCCCTTCCGCTCTGGGCTTACTTGTCCCGGATGATAGTCTGCAGCTCCCGGATCTGATCATTCATAGGCAACAGCTTAAGCTGTGCCCCGATCTGTCGGGAGAGTTCACAGTCCCCTAGGAGGGAGTCGCCGACAGGTGCCTCGTAGTTGCCACTGTCACTACTATCACTGTGGTTGTCAGAGTGAAGATTAGTGCCACAGCAGGCCTGAGAGTCCCGCTCCGAGAGCACGCTAGAATGGGCGTGCCCGGGGAGGAGAGTCAGCTTAGCCATAGCAGCGTTATTTTCTTCTGCATGATCCAGGATCTGGTCGTCTGCTCGCAGACGCTCGGGACTTGGGGTAGAAGTAGAGTTTACTTGCCGGTTGTGACAGGGCATGGAGTCCGGACGCTGCAACTCCGTGGCCATACACCGGGCCCCGGGCTGTCCCCACAGCTATCAACCCCTAAGGATAAAGGGATAAAGAGCAGCAAGAAAGGGATGCGGACACGTGCGTTCTCCGGGCCCCCTCCCTCCTCCAAATCTCTAACCCTGGCTGCCCTCTCACCCCTAGGCCTCCACGGTCCTTTCGCACGCTTTGTCCCATACCCGCCCACACCAGACGCACTGCTGGCTTAGACACCTTATTGGTCTGTCTCCCTGCCTGTCTGCAGCACGCTGGCTTGTTAACTCTTTGAGTTTTTCCTGCCTGATAGATTCTTGCACGTAGCCTGGTAAACGTGGTTGAACCAGAAATTCCTGGTTGCTGAGTACTCGGGAAACCCCTAGGACTTCCTGCAATCACAACTTTGGTACAGCGTAGAGAAAGTGGCGGGTTGGTTATACGCGGAAGGCACATGCTTTCAGACTTTCTGACTTGACAATGAAATTGTACTTGAGCAGTCAGTTGCTTCTTCAAGCTAATAGCTTGTCTGCGTTACATAAGGAGGAAGTAAGAATACATAGCAGGCTACTGAAAAGCCTGGCTTTTCTAGACTGTTTAACACGCTGCAGTTTCCTAAGTGTGCTTGACCACCAAAGTTTTTCTTACTCGTATTGGTTGGGCCCTGCATTGCACACGTTACCATGGAAATTTTGTTGTCATTTTCGATACAATGCTACTTTGTTCTTCCAAACAATACTTGGAAAGATGCCTCTCAAAAATTCATAGGTACCATAAAGAGATGCATAAGAATATCTAAGACAGTAATTTTCAAATTTTCCGTGTGTGTCAGAAAAAATTGTAGAGTTTGCTAAAGTCCTGAGTTTTGATTGGACATGAAGCCACACATCTGCAATTCCTGTCCTGTGGAAACTGACACAAAAGGATCAAGAGTTCGAAGCCAGCCTGGGTTACACACCAAGCCCTAGTTTCAAAAATAATAAAATAAGAAACTTCTCGTGGCTCACCAATGAGATTCTAATACAGTAGTCATGAAATAGGACCCGAGAATCTTTAACAAGTAACTCAACAATTGGTTTTGCTTGTTTGCTTGCTTGTTTCATTATATCACTGTCATCCATGCTTTATTTGGGTTGACCTTCCCCCGCACCTCTCCCTAGTCCGCTATTTCTCTTCCACCCCCAGTAGCTCATTCTCCACTTTCATGTCATACATTCTTCTCTCCCCGCCCTTCATTAAAACCTCTTTTTACCACTTATGATGTCCTCTCTATTTTAATTATCTATACCCACACTTATACCAACGCATACAAATTTACAGAAATAGGAGTAACAGACTACCTAGGCCTTTCGCGGAAATTGAACCTTGATCTAGCTGTCTTTTGTGTATGATACACTCATTTGTTGCTTCAGGGCTGTTATTAGTCATTTTCCTCTTTGTGTGTCTCATCTGTGTCCCACTTTCCAAGTCTGTAAATTGCTGTCTACAAATATAGTACTGTATAAATTTCATTGCACTGTGAAATTACTATCTCGAGTGTAATCCCACACACTTTTAAAAGCTTGTACATCTTTTCACCTAGCACATAATGCAAATGAAAGGGTCTCTGGATTTAAAACCTTGCTAACTTGAAGTAGGCAAGAACAAATGGCTGTTTTGTCAATGAATACTCTACAAGAATTCACTGAAGCCCAGTATTGTATCATGAACAAAGATTATCCCAGCTCCAAAACTGCACTAGAGTTTGTTCATTGTTTCATCAGTCCTGTGACCTTATTTTCAATGTCGTTGAATAATGAATTAGAACAGTACAATTGTCAGTCTGTTTTCTGTCTTCACTTTCATGTTAAACATACACCAATAAGCATTAGCAGGTGTATATCTGAGATTCTCATAAGATAAAATTTACTAATAATTAGTCATAGCAACACTTTAAGTTTTGTGTTCTACTATTTACAAAGCATCCACATGCATTCTTTCATTTGATGACTCAAAATAAGTCAGATATGATATATGACTATAATCTAAGCCCTCAGGGTGTTGAGGCAGGAGGATCACCAATTGAAGGCCAGCCTAGGATAGATACACACACACACACACACACACACACACACACACACACACACACAACATACACAAACACAGAGAGAGAGAGAGAGAGAGAGAGAGAGAGAGAGAGAGAGAGAGAGAGAGAGAGAGAGAGAAAGGGGGGAGGGAGAAAACACTAACCCTCTCTCAAAAATTAAATAATTGTCCACGATCACACATTCAAAGGGATTGGTGCTAACACAGGTGTGCTGGTCTTTAGACTCTAAAGCCAGTCTTTACCCACATGTAGAGATCCATGAAATCATTCAGTTAATGAAATACTAATTTCATCTTTACTATTACAGCCTGGGCAGTTTACTGGGTATCAAAATAGATGCAAGGTAAAATAAGCGAAGGACTTGAAACTTTCAAATGGTGGTGAACAGTCTAGATTTTTGCAAAGCAGGGATAATATTACTCAGCACTGAAAACTTTGTCGTAGGTGGAGCAGCAGCATTAACTAATTTCAGTCTGGTTTTCTCGCTTACCACTTTCTGATGTAGGTAGAAAGCCATATAAATTAAAAGCTGTAAGGTCCCTGCAGTAGTTGACATGGCTTCACTTTGGGTGGTTTGTTGTTTGTTTTTAAACCAGTTTAATACATATTTCTCTTTGTTATAAAGATATATTTAAGAGACAGCGCATTTTGAAAAGCAGCTAACACAAGAGTCAGTTTCTGATTGTCGAAGCTTTGTTGCATTTTTCTTAACCTGTGATGGATTAAAGTCCAGGCACTAAATTGGTGAGACTATCAAATATAGAGGATCAAGCTCGGAACTTAAGATGATTCTTATAGGTTTTTAGAAATTACATCCTAACTGGAGTCCTTCACATGTAGCCATGCAGTGTCTCTTGGGAACACTTTCTTATCTCATTTGACCTGACAAAACAGGTGAGAAAAATCAGACTTAGGAGCTTAAAGTAACAACTAACTAATAGTAAAGTTTGGAGAAAACTAAAGGGAACTTTTAATAAACTCTATTTTCTATTATTTAAGTATCTTACTTAAACTTTCTAATGACTTTTGGATGTGATCCATATTATTATCTCCATTTTACAGATAGGAAAATGAAAAGAGATTTGTTCACCTGACAATGTCATGCAGATCATAAATGCAGGAACATACATTTAGAACTAAATTTGAGAAACTCAATATGTTTCTGTAAATAATGTCCTCAGACTAGTCCTGGTTATAGTCTTCTACTGTGGACCACATCTTATATTGTACTAGACAGTATCTCACCTGTAATACTGTACATATGTGCAAAATTTGCATTATGTAACTGAGTTAAGCAATCTGGATATAATCTTGCTTTAATTCTTATGCCTAGACGGTCATGGTGGCACACATCTGTAATCCCATTATTTGGTAGGTAGAGATGAGAGGATCTAGAATTCAAGGTTAACCTGAGTTGCATGACTGCCAGTCTCTAAATAAATAAATTAATAGTCCTCTCCTGAATACTTTGCATTGGTAATTTCTTTGCATTGATTTTAATAACCTTTAAGCCACTTCACTATAATTTTAAGTTTCTTAAAAGCAAAAACATGTTAGTTAAAAGGAAAACCAATGAAACTGTTGTACATTTTTCCCAAAATGTGTCATTATTCCTTATCTTGATTACATTTTATTTATTGAAACAAAGTCTTGCTGTGTAGCCCAGGTACAACTCTAGCCCTTAGGAGGCTAAAGCAGGAGGATAGAGTGTTTGAGACCAACCTGGGGAATAAGTGAGATCTAGTCTAGCCTGGTCTATGCAATAAGACCCTGCATTAACTCTTTTACACCCTAAAGGAATGTACTCTGTAGCAAGAATATATTAAGGATAAAATATAATATGAATGACAGTCAACATGTTACACAGAATTCATTCACTTTCTGGCTAAAAGTTTATAGTCTTTGTCCTCTTTGTATTCTATTGCTGTGATAAAGCACTATGACTGAAAGCAACTTGGGAAGGAAAAGATTTATTTGCTTACTCAACCTAATCACAGTCCATCATGAAGGAAAGTCAGAGTAGAAACTTCAGCAAGAACCTGAAGACAGGACTAAAGAGGAGGCCATGGAGGACTACTGCTATATAATGCCTGCTCATTGCTCCTTGTGACATGCTCGGCTTGCTTTAAAAACAGCAACAACAACACCAAACCTTTTAAAAAAGATTTCATTTTAGTTTATGCGTGAGTGTTTTGCCTACATGTTTGTAGGTGTACCATGTACCCTGCCCATGGAGGTCAGAAGAAGCCACTGGATCCCTGGAACTGAAATTACAGATGATTAGGAATCAAGATTTAGATAGATGTTTGTAATGGAACCCAGGTCCTCTTCGAGAGCAACAAATACTCTTAACTGCTGAGCCACCCCCCACCCCCACCCCTGCTTGCTTTTTAATGCAAATCAGGCTCTCTGTGGATTGGGACCTCCCACATAAATCATTAATCAAGATAATGTTCCACTGAATTCCTCAAGACATTTAAGAATCACTAAATATTAATCTTTTTATCAACACTGTAAAACTTGTGGTTTTTTTATAAAGAATTCAAATCTTTTTATCTCCCACCTTGTAAGACTTTTATGCAAATGTTTTAATCTGTCACCACACAGTAAACCCTTTGTTTGCACAAAGGCTTTTACTGCATTCCAGGAACTTGATGATCTGGAGCAGCAACCCCTTTCTTTCCTTTCCTTTGCGGACTCTTAAAAGTAGACAGTCTTGAAAGGCTGGGAGGTCAGATCCCAGTAAAAGGGGAAAAGACACAGTCATGAGCACCTAAATAGAATAAAAGCCAAGTGTACTTCTGTCTTTGTGTTCACCCTTCCAGACACACCCTTTGGATCCAGAGTAAAGTTTATCTTATTCAGACTCTTCAGGTGGAGTGGTGGTCTCCTTTTGTTTAGCCTCTGAACTTGTTTCTAAGCCATACTCCCTCTTTCTAGATGACTCTAGCTTGTGTCAAGTTAAAACAAAGCTAACAGCACATCCTTTGACCAGTATCTTCTCATTGCCACATACCACCAGCCCCAGCAATCACCATCATACTCTGATTCTTTTAGTTCAACTTTTAATTCAATACCTACACAAATCTGTCCAGTATGTGTCTTTCTGTGT